AAAAATCAACAAGCAACTATAAACCAGAGACACACTATGGTGTGCGGGGAGGGGAGGAGGGATTAGTGTCAAAATGGGGGGGTGGGAATTGTATGGGGACTATAATCAAGATGAAAATGCATACATTGTGCAAAAATGAAAAATGACATAAAAATACATAAAATATTAAAAAAATAAATGTATCAACAGTTTAGAAAAAGAAAATTCCAAAGAAAAATATTCTCTCCCACTGACATCTTATTCTTCTGAATAATGGCGGCATTGTCAAGACAAATGCAGTGCATTGCAGAAAGACTACTTTGAAGAGAACAGGCTCATTTGTTTGTGTAAGTTCGCATGTGTATGTGTGTGTGCATGTGAACACATGCACACATGTGATTGTATTTTTAATCACTCGATTTTTTAAAATATTTATGCATACAAGAACTGGGGCACACGCCAGAAGTGTAGGGGGTGAGAGGATTCGCCAGACACAGAGTGGGGAGCAGAGCAGGTGGATCTACTGAAATCCACTGCTGAGGGGAGCAGCGGGTGAGTCAGGAGAGGTCTGCTGCACCTGTGGGTCAGCTCCCTGACCAGAAATTGAACTCGTGCTGCAGTGGCTGCCACGAGCTTCATAGGTTGCGTCTTAACCCCTTGCGCCACCAGGGAGGTCCCTAATCACTCAATTTTTAGTCACCTCTCAGGTGCACAAAACCCTTTTGCTGACGCATAAATAAGCCAGTAAGAGGAGGAGGGACCAGAGGGAAGGAGACAAAGCAGGAAGTAGACAGAAAAGAGATCACAGGCTCAAGGAAGTCACTGGAGAGGGATGAGGAGAGAGCCAAGCGGTAAGTCCCTTTGGATAAAGATAAATATTTTTTAGAAGCAAAGTATGATCGGTAAGGTGCAAGCGGCCCAGGGCAAGTTTTCGGCTGCCCTTCAGGCAAATGAAATGGAAGACCAAGCTTCCTGGGAAGGGTATTATTGATTACACTGGGATTTTATTAAACTGTCATGTAAGTAGAGCGCTGTGCTAAAATTAGGGAGTTTTAGTCTCCAGTCTCTTCTTGACCAGTGGTCATAGTTTGGGCTCTTGACTTTATTTCTTCCCCCTCTCTTCTTGGAAAGAAAGGCTCTGGACTAAATGATTCCTAAGGTGACAGATTTTTGTGGTTTTCTCTTGAAAAACAATCATCACAAATCTGTATCCTTTTGCAACATGCTTTCGGCTACCTGGAGACAAGTGCATTGTAAAAGTGGGGAGGGACCATCATTTTTCTACTTTTGAGTAACATGTAGTAAAGAGCCACCATTTCTATAAACATAAAGGAAGATGGCAAGATCAAATAGTGAATGCAAACAGAAAAGGGAGGCTGGTGGTTGTCACAGAGACCACGAGGCCACACCACCCCTCTGGGGACACGCATCCTCCACCTGAGCAATGACCTGGCTGGGTAGCCTAGAGGCTAAGGCTGAGGTGACCACTGCAGGTTCTGGAACAAGCTTGCAGTGCCCCTAGCGTGGGCAGGATTTAGTCACATTCATCTTCCATTCTCTCTGCCCCCCCCACCCCCCGCACACGTTTCTAGGGCTCAGCGTATCTTCCTCTCTCCAGTACTTCCCTTAACTTATGTGACACCAAATACGGGGCACTCAGTAGCCCCGCTACTTGCTGAGTAATTCACTGAGTTAAATTTTGCCCGAGTTGGCAGTCCTGACCTAAGCATCAGGGAGCAGAATATGAGCACACTCCCACTTTGCCACAGTCAAGTTTTGTTCTGTCGTTTTTAACCTAGGACTTTTGAATCTGTTATTCTTCTTCCAGACCATCTTCTGGCAGCTGCCTGGACCTCTCGTCAGAATCTTCTGGCTGCATTAGCATATCTAATGAAGTCCTGTTTGCAAGAGCAACTGGCAAGTGCGCAGAACTGCTGAGAAAGGATTCTGTGCCCCTGAGAGGCAAGCAGTTTCCCTGCTCAGTGGAAACTTCAAGTAGCTTTGAATAGGCTTCTGAATGCAGTGAAGTAGAAGCCACCAGCAAAATCTGGCCCTCTCAAGTCAGCTTTTCCTATGACAGGGATCAAACAGCAGTGATTACCACCAACCGAAGTAACTAATTGGTGGCCACAATTCGTTCCACTTCCTAGAAGTTAGAGGCAAACCATAATGCAGGAAAATTCATTAGTGTCTATCACTATATTCCCCTTTGTAGACAGAAGGTGACTCCACCAGTATCTCCAAAACTGTATGTAATGCCAAATCCTAGCATGGCTATGCTGACAGCTGGTCAAGTCAGGCCTAGAGCAAAGATGGGGAACGGAGACCAGATCACGTGAATAAATGAAGCAAACATCACAATGCTACAGAAAACACCTAGCAGGTTCCCACCTAGGAAAATGAGCTTCTCGGCACTGAGTGCACTGCCTGGCAGAGAGGAGAGGGCCAGAGTAAATGGACAATCAGACTGGAAGGAAAAAAGCCACTGTCAAAGAGAAAGGAGGCCCTCTGGTGTGCAACCCCAGCCGCTCTGCTTCCAAACCAAAAACTGACTTGTCACCCATCACTTCACCCAGCCACCACCATTAGCTGTGGAGCTTCTGCTTTAAACTTTTCTACTCTTTTATTACTTTGAGGGGATAGTGATTGGATTGTTTCATTCTGTTTGATGGCAGTGACCTCTACCCCATGGGGAGAAAAGCATGGTGATGAGAGACTTAAATGGCCCTCTGAATTACACTGAAAACCATTTTATAACAGTGCCTCAGGCATTCTTCCAGAAACTTAACCAGTAATAACTCATGTAATTTTCATCCATCAAGGATCAGTCGAGTGTTAAGTATAAATAAAAGTGGGACCCACTACTTTGGAAGAACGGAGTTATGGGACAATTTTTCAGGTTTCAAGACAACATCCTTCCTAAAGTCCACGCCATGGGATGCCAGGTTTAAAGAGGGCGGGCAGGTGCATTCTCACAGAGACTACGCGGCCCCTCCCCGCAAGGCAACAAAACCCTGTCACTGCTTGCCGGTGTCTAATGCAGGAGCACACACACGTACACTACACCCCCAGAGAAACATGTGCACAAAAATCATGCGAGAGTGCTCCCAGGAGCACTGTTCTTAGTATTCCGAAACTGGAAACAATCTAAAAGTCTCTCAGCAGTAAAATGAATCTAGAAATTGTGGCATATCCATAGCAACAAGAATGAATTAGCTAATATACACCCAACAGCACGGATCAATCTCACCAACACACTGCTGAGTCGAGCAGCCAGGCACACTGGAATACATACTGTGTGATTCCATTTACATGAAGTTCAAGGGCAGGAAAAACGAACCTGTGGAGACGCACTGCAATGGCAGTTGCTTATGGATTATGGAGGGTGGCGAGTGCCTGCAAAGGGGCACAAGGGAACGTCGTATGGGGATGGAAATGTTTTGTTTGAATATGGATGTCGTTTCCATGTAGATGCCCACTTATCAAGACCTATCGAATTACAGCCATCCCTTAGTATCTGCAGGACCCCTGCAGAGACCAAAATGAGCAGATGCTTAAGCACCTTATAAAAAATGGTGTACTATGTGCACATAACTATGCCCATCCTTCCCTCTACTTTGAATCATCTCTTGATTACTTATACCACCTTGCAAATGCTACATAAATAGTTATATTGTTTAGGGAATAATGGCAAGAAAAAAGTGTACGTGTTCAGTGCAGACACAACCACCACAGCTTAACTACAGAGTATGTACTTTCTATCCACAGCTGGCTGAATCCACGGATGTGGAACCCCAGGGTAGGGAGGGGCAACCGTATATACTTAGGGTCTAAGCATTTCACTGCCTGCATGATTTTACTTTGATATAAAAAAGAGAGTGACGTGATCTCCTGTATATGAGACTCCTGGACTCACGGGCTCCAGTTCTGCTGCTGTCCTACAGATGCACCAGGGACAAGTCTACAATGTGTAGCCTAATCCAGCTGCTCAAGCAAAGCCTCTGAGAAACCAGAGCCAAGAGCTCTCTGCACAGGGCACCTCCAACCCTCACTTGGACGTGGCACTGGCCACGGGAGGTTAATGAGGAGATGCCAGAGCCCTTTGGCTCTTATGCCACGTTTAAACACCCTCCCAAAGTTTTTGCTGTATTACTCAGTATGACTGACTCCTGGCTCCAGAAGAGGACAGGCCCAGCAGGGAGTGTAAAAGTGTACCTGGAATGTTCTCAGCTTTCTCACCTAATGCTGCTCCTCTTCCCATACCTTACCAGTGGAGGAAGAGAGAAGCAGAACAAGGATATTTAGGCATCTGGGGCTTTGTGAGGCTGAATGCAGCAAACTCCTACCCTCCAAATCCACAGTAGCCATGTTTAGAGGGGCTAGAGATTATAAGTCTCATAGTAATTTGTATACCAAAGTTCAGATCACCCTAGTACAGAAGGACTGCACCCTCTGTTCCTATCATACGATGTGAATCCTGTTCCTTAAACACCAGCCCCCACGGTATAAAGATACTATCGACTCCTTACCCACGTGCACAGGTCCTTTCAAAACACGGCCTCCTCCGCCGCCTTAGTCGCACAGCACATTCCGTGAGTGCATGCTGAACACAGACGCCATGCTCGCGCTTTTGTTCTGGCTACGTGGAATGACTTTTTCACCACGCCTCTCCCATAATTCTTGCTAATTCTTCAAAAACCCAGACCCAGAGGCCCCAAGCAACTTTCATAATACTCCCAAGCAGAATGACTTCTTCCCTCTGCTTTGTTTTCCTAGAACTTCAGACAAACCTATATTAAGACATTACTCAGAGCGACAGGGATCTGGTTACATGTCTGACCCCAACACTAGAACGTATGTTCCACAGCCCCTGAAGACCTGGATCATGCCTTACCCATTCCCATGCCCCTGGCATTGGGTGCATGATCTGGCTCATGCTCAATGAGGGTTGGACGAGAGAAGGAAGAAGAATTTGCCAACTGTCACGTTTCAGAACGCTACACACGCACTGACAGTCTTACCTATTGAGCGCAAACGCGTAGTGAAATTTAATGTTATGCTGGTCAGCCAAATCACACGTAGGCAGCGTTTCCAGGGTTTCTACCAGCTTCACCATTGCATCATAGTCCTGTTGACAAGAGGTCTCAGGTGAGAAAGAGAGAAGACACAGCTTTTTGTACATTTTTCTGAACAGGTATAAACACAAGACTGTCTCAGCACTTAAGCACAAGCCTTTCCTCACAGACAACATTTAGTGCTGTTACTTACAGACCTTAACTGAACAGAAATAAGATTTAAAAAAATGAGATAAGGGAAACAAACGAGCCCAGCAGCCATTCCCCATGTAAAGGGCGGAAACATCCTGCCTTTATGTAGCCAGAAACAATCGAATTCACCTGAAACAGGCTGCCCAGCCTCAGCACCACTGTCAGTGTGCAGCCTGAGCGCGCCCTGTGCATTGTGGGATGTGCAGCAGCATCCCGGGCCTTGACCCACTAGATGCCACCAGCACCTGCCCCCACCCCCGCTGGAGTTGTGACAACCCAAAGTGTCTCCAAGTTGTCACATGTCCCCTGGTTGGGAACCACTGCTTTAAAGTGCATCATTACCCAGGGAAAAACTGCTGCCATGTTTGTCTCAGCTGGGTCCCCCGTGAGCAGTGCCATCTGTTACCCTCCCAGCCAGGCTGCAAATCGCTGTCACTGGCCAACTTGCTGACAGCCAGTCACGGCAGGCGGCAGACTTCCCATCCAAACCCCCTGCCTGCTTTGTGGCTCTGCACCTTGCTGCCACCGCCCAGGGAAAGGGAAGGCAGCATGCTCCAGGCAGCACCCGGCTTACCTCTGAGCCTGAGAGTCCTAGCAATGGAAGGTTATAAAAAGAGAAGCATGAAGGCAAGGACAGAAGGAAGCCAGACGCTCAAGGGGAAAGAGACTTGAGAAATGGCCATTCGCATTATCTTGTCCCACGGGACATGACTTAATCAGGGCCATAATCCCTAATAGCATCTGCTACTGAAATTAATTAGAGGCATCTGTTTATCACTAAGGGCATGAGTTTCTCAGGGGTGCAGGTCAGACATGGATGCCCCTCTTGTTCAGATTTAAAGGCCTGTGGCCAAGTCACCAATGTGGCTTTGTAGAAATCTGTGGCTAAGGTACAAGGCCCCATGTTCCTCCAGAGGGAAGCTTAGAAACGGTTCAAGGGCATTAAACTTGAAGGGAGGAAATGCTTGACTTCCTTATGGTACTACATCCCACAAGTTCTGTCTCAAGAACTCTCCAGAAGCCTCTGATATTTGTCTCAGAATAAACACCTGTATTCCCTGCACCCTGGATGTGGCCCTGCTACTCGCACTCTCCCTGTCATTGATGGGTGGGGGGAAACAAAGAAGGAAGTGACAGAGGCCTAAAGGAAGTAGCAAAGCAGAGGCGTGAGAGGCAAGGACAAGAGAGCGCGTTGCCTCAGTGTGAACCCTGACTTTGTCAACTGCGGTGTGACCATGGGCAAGTAACTTCTCTGTGCCTCAGTTTCCTCATTTGAAAAATGGAGATAATCAGAGTATACACCCCACAGACTTGTGGAGAAGGTTAAATGAATTAGCATTTGCAAAGAGCCTGAAACAATGTCTCACACAAGGGGCGTATAAACTGTGAAATTCCAAGTTCACTTTATTCAGAGTACTGATGTGAGATTTTGTTGGCACCGTCCTCTGACGTGACAAAACCTCCGCTACGTCCCGCTGCAGATAATGCAAAGTGGCCTACCACTTAGCCACATGCCTGTTCTGTCTATAACACAGGCACCTAGCCGTACACCTAGCATGCATGGACTCCCCATGAGGCATTCCTCACACCCAGAAGAACTCGGCACGTCAGCTCAGCTCCACTTCTTCCGTACCTGGATATCACGGTAGGACAGCAGTAAGTTAATGATGATGTCTGAGGTGAGAACCTCGGTATTATCCATGCGGAGTTTGATCCGAGACAGCTCCTTTGCCAGTTCATCACCCTGGTATTTCTCTCTGGCTTTCCGGATATCATTTAACAAGGTTTCTTTGTAATAAGCACTGCAGAGGGAAACATGAAAACCTTCGGTCACATCTCCACATATCCAGGACTCTGCTTCCTTAAGCAGTGCAACCAATTGTGGCTGGCACTGGTGTGACTCAGGCTAACGTTAGGGGCCCCTGGTCCACACCAAGTCCTCCCTATATTAGGCAAACAAGAGACACATTCAACGTGGCAGTGGCATTTTGCAGAAATGAACCACTAAATAGAAAGAAAGAAAAATCACTTCATAACAACTGTGACAATTCTTTCAAAGCTGACCCCAGCTGGATTGGGGAGACATACAGGATGCGCCATCCACCTTGCTGTGGTACCTTGCTCGAATAGTCAGTACCCCACTAACGAACAGATCATCACAAACAAAACGCCAAAAGACTTGAAACGCAGTAAAATGAGAATTTTGCAATCCATTTACCTATCAGATACTACCTGCCCTAGCCAGTAATCACGAAGTTTTTTCTGGCTGGTCAAGAGTCGGAGACTGTGTCTCTGAGGAATCCAAGAAGTTGGGTCTGGAAGCTTATGACTACCTTTGCCTGTCACCCACCATTCTCCTTGTCATTTTTTGACTTCCAGAATGCTTTCCTAACATGAAACATAAAACTTCTGGCATACAATGATAAGAGGGATGTATGTACAGCCACATTTAAGGCACTTTAACTTCCCACCAAAAATTTCACCACAGTCTCGCAAAAATTTCAACCAATGCTAGCATCTGATACTTGGTGTAAAAATCTTTTAAAATGACCTGACTTGGTACACAGACATCAACTTACAATGACCAAAGATTGACTGAAATGTGTTCCTTCTCCAAGTCAACTTTTTACATGGAGACTGAGCACTGCCAAGGGCTGGCACTATCAACCCACTTAGTAGCCGAAAGATTTAACTAGAGAGAGTAAAATTAGGCTGTTCATTAAAAAAACAAGCACCATTAAACAGTAATCTTTTCAATGAAAGAGAAACATGAGAATGTTACTTTTAATAATTATAAAACTATGCCACACAGTACAAGCTACACAGTATAAAGCTTGCAATAAAGATTTCAACAAACATTTAAAAAAAATGAAGGATATCCCACAAAAAGTACTCTGCTTTCATTTTTATTTCCTTATTTATCTACTGCTTACCATCCCAACAATGAGCAAATCAGCAGATTCTGCCCATGTTTAAAATTCTGGCATCTATGCATCTATGGGGTCACTGAGTTGGGTGACAGCCACTGTCCCTTCAGCGGACTCTCCAGCCATCAAAGCTGTGGCCCAAGTTCGGCTTGACAAGTCAAAATCTGTACTTTAGTTTTGTTTCCAAGGGTGGTTCTGAAAAATAGTTTTAATAAACCAAGAAACCTAGTAAGAACAGAAACATCTAAAGAAAAAGAAAACGCTGAATTCACTATGTCTGTGTGTGGGGGGCATTGTATTTGTAGTGAATAAGCAGCCATGACTGCTTCTGGAAACCAGGGAGGATGTTGCGAATCAGCACGAACTTGAAAATGGCTTCAAAGTCCTTTTCCGTATAGAGCTCAAGGCTGCCTTTACCAGTCTATCATAGTTGGCACTTGAGCTAAAAGCTTATCTGCCATCCCTGTACTGTGAAACAATAACGTATGTCCTATAACCACGTATTACCCAAACCGTAAGCACCATTTACCCTCTAACCATTGCCAAATACTTGCCAGTTTCAAGGGGTGCAATCAACTGACAGCTATTTTCGGTCCTTTGACATTATACCAAGAGTTGTTTTCCCACTGAGACATATATACACTAAGTGAGAAACAAAAACTTGAGTCCATTTCTTACAAAGACCTGGTTCATCTGGCAAACTCAAGCTACTTTACCTCCTTGAGAACCTAAAAAGATGATACTGGGAGCAGTTTCTCCCTCAGCCTCCCTTAGCTGTTCATTCTGCAATAGGACAAGCTGTGACTGATGAAGCTTTCCAGGAATGTGACACTAAACGTCCCCTATTTGCTTTCTCTGCTGGCATGTAGTCACACATGTTTGAGTTTCCAGTTTTGTCTTCCCATTCAAGTCTGCAGAAGAAATTGCATCCAGAGATGAGGGGATGAAATAGAAAAAGAGAACAGATTGCTAAGAAGTATGGAGCTCACACCAATACAAGAGTAACACGTCACAGCTCAGGGCACCAAGACTGGAACCAAAGTGGGGCATGTAGGCCTTTCCATTTCACTGTAAGTCACCACTGCCATGCTTCAGATTTTCATTTGTTTTGGAAGAACAAATTCTTCTCCCATGTCACATAACTTACAGGAATAAAATTCTTTAAATTGGCTGCAAGCAAAGTAACTGGATCCTTTAGGTAAGCAGAATAATTTTTCTGCCTTCAATTTTTAAAATAACATTTTAAGGTGTGGTTTCTGGAGCAGAGGCCTGAAGAAATGATCTGACTCTTACAAGTCTACACAGCGAGGAATTGCCTGCGCCAGGAATCAAACTCAAGCTTGTCCAGCTCTGAGTCAGTATTCCATATCATCTGACAAAAAATCTACAAAGAACACGTCTCAGAACTTCCTGAGGTCAGGACAGTCTCTGCTCCATGCAACACCATCACACTTCTCTAACACAAGAACTATGGTCAGAATGACCTCACAGAATGACCTCACAGCAAGTGACTGGGGTGAGCCAGGGGCAGGAAATCATGTTCAGAAATAATCTTGAATCACAGATTCTCAGAGTTGAAAGAGCATAAAAAATTCAGTACCTTAATGTCCTTATTTTCTAGGTGACAAGAAAAGTTATTAATCAAGGTCACACAGAGTTAGGACCAGACACATACTCAAGCCTGACCTCAGGCATTGATGCACCCCAATGGCCCTACTTAGTGAGGTAGGAAGAGATGAAAATGGGCCCTAGAGTGACTCAAAAATGGTTGGCTAGGTTTCTTCATTCCCCAGGCACTGTGGTCTTTTGAGAGTGTGTGGCCTTCATGAACGTGAAGGGTCATTTTTGGCCAGGCCCCCAGGCTTGCTGATGGCTAATAGGAATTACCATGAGGTCACGTGGATGTCCTTGAGAAGGCCAGTAAACCTGTCCACCAGGGGCACACACAGTGGGCCCAGGATGGTATCCCAGGTAGGCTGCATGTACTCGGAGGCACGTCTCTGCGCATCACTCTCGCAGCAAAAATAATCAGCACATGGTGTCACGATGTACGGGATGAAATAGTAATTTCCACTCGATGCCTGGAAAACAAAACCAAGTTTGTTTCACAAAATAACTGGCACAGAAGCACAGCTGTGGATTTGGGCAGGTGGAAGCTGGTAGGACAGGGAAGGAGAAAGCACTAGCGTATGAACAACAACTTGCTGAAACTTACCAAATTTAATTAAATGAAGCAACATATGTAATAAGTTAAATGATTTCCAAGTAGGATAAACTGAAAGAAATTCACATGCAGACACAACACAAACACAGTCAAAATCTCGAAAGACAAAGCCTTGAAAGCAAAGTATGTTTTATCATATGCAAGAGAACCTCAGTCAGATTAATATATGACTTTTCATCTGAAACAATGAAGACCCAGAAGGTAGTGGGATGACATATTCAAAGTGTTGAAAGAAAAAAAAAAAGTCAGCCAAGAATCTGATGTCTAGCAAAACTATCTTTGTAAAATGAAGGTGAAATAAAAGACATTTTCAGATAAAACAAAAAAGATACACTTGCTAGCAGACCCATCTTACAGAAACACTACAGGAAGTTCTTGAGGCTGAAACCAAGTGACACCAAACAGTAATTGTAATTCACATGATAAAAATCAAGAATGCCAGGATCTCTAGGAACAGATACTCTCTTTTCCTCTCAGCTTCTTTAAAAGTTACAATATTATATAGAGTCATAAGTCTATCAAAGATATTTACCAACATAACTAAATATTCTTAAGTCTCCATAACAATTAGGTAAATTGAAGATATAAGAATATAACCTATTTGTATAAAATTGCTACATTTTAAAATTATTTCCGAAACAATTATTTCTGCTGAAATTTCACTTGCACTCTTCTTTTAGCAAACCTTTTCTACCCAAATAGCAAAAAGTAAACTTTTCTCCAATCTTGCTCAAACCCTAAATAATGGAGTGTGAAAATGTAAGATTTTGACAAATGTTTTGTGTTGTCACAGGTTATAGCTCAAGTGGGCAGAGCAGCAGAGGCTGATAAAGGCTTACCCACAGTGAGGAAGGGATCTGATTCTTTGCACAAACATTTAGCCACAGGGAAACGTGAGGCAAAAGAGAGGGAAAGCATGCACTCTGAAAATTAAGCAAGTTTAATGAACCTGGAGCCTTGGAAAAGTAAAAAGCAGCTCCTGTGAGAAAATCTTTCATAAAGTGTATAAAAGTTGAAGAAATTTTACAGAAAGAAATTGGGACTAATGACTACATGTTAAAAAGCAATTCATAAACTTCCAAATGAAAGCATAGGCTCTTGAGTTCAGTACTTTTCTTATAAAGAAGACAAATAGGCCCAAACATCTTCAAATGATGGAACACATTCAGACTTGGTGGAGAGACCAGAAATGAAAAAGGAAAACATTGATTAGCACAACACAAGTTCAATAGCAAGCTAGGCTTGGATATTTGTAATTGTTACATTTATAAATGGAAACATCTCAAGAATCCAGCTAATTAAAACAAATTTAACAAAGACAGCATAGTTTCCTACATAAAGGGGCATTAGAACCAGTATGCTAGCCACACTAATATGTAAACCCTTATTCCAAACACGTTTTCAAGTATTTCTAAAAGGATGATTCTGATAGAGTGAGGTCAGAGAGCAGAGTAAAAGCCAACAGTCTCTGATACTGTGAGGGTAGGCAGAGGAGGGATCCATACTTTAAAGTCTTCAGTTCCTCACTTAGGAGTTGAAATTTCCAGAATGACCACCATCTACAAATGATCACCACTATGAACAGATTGCCCTATATCATCACTAAGTTAAATAATAGGTGCTTTTGGAAAAGTTCTCATTACAAAAGTTTGATATACCATCTCTAATGCTATTAATTTTTAATACCTACCTAACACACCATCTAGTAAATAGACATAATAGTATATGTCACCATTCTCCTATTTAAGTTTGTTTTTCAAGTTTCTTTACTGTATAATATGGAGATGAACACCTTTGCATATGGCATATTTATAGTCTGGACTTTTCCTAGGAGTAACTTCCAAGTAGTGAAATTACCAGAGCAACTTTAAGGCCTAGACATGTGTGGCCAAGCTCTTGTCAAAAAGGATGCAGCGGGCCTCCCCGGTGGAGCAGCGGTTGAGCGCTGGGTTGCGAGGCTGCCCGCGGCCTCTGCGGCGCCAGTTCGATCCCCGGCTGCTCCCCGGCCACCAGAGGAGGGTCCCACATGGCGTGCAGACCTCTCCTGCTGCCCGCTGCTCCCCTCAGCAGTGTACCTCGGTCCTTCTGCCTGCTCTGCTCCCCACTCTGGCTCTGGTGAATTCTCTCACCCTCCCGCGCTTCTGACTGTACCCAGTGCATGTATAAACAAAACAAACAAACAAACAAATAGATAAATAAATAAACATGCCTCTATAAAAAAAAAAAAGAGGATGCAGCAATTTGCACTCCTATCTGTATCGTGCAAAGGCATCTCAATTTCATCTTCCTCTCAGTGGAGTTAGGTAGTATCTTTTTTCCTACTAAGTGGAAAAGTTTTACTCAGTTGGGTGAAAAAGAAATACCTCATCTACATTGAAATAGGAGGGAACATCTAAACTCAAACATGGCCAAGACAGCGGAGAATTTGGATGGCACAGGATTGAATCCTAGATCTACCCCATATAAGATGGATGACTCTGGAAAACATACTTATCTATCTAAACCTCAGTTTGCTCATCTTTAAAATGTGGACAATAAAACTGTCAACATCATTAGGTAATAGAGGCTTAAATATGGCCTTGGCACACAGAGGGCATCCAATAAATATTATCTATTCAATAAATATCTCTATTCTTGGTCTGGTTCAGCTCGGAATTCTGAACCTGGGTTCCAGTAATCTGTGGGGGAAGGGGTGTCTGAACATGAATGAGAAAAAAAATTACATCTTTGTCATCATTCACCTTTAGCTGAAAAGTAACAATGCCTTCAATATCACTTAAGAAATAAGTCATCTTAGTAGTTTCAGCTGAATCTGGAACTTTGTCACTAATCGAAATCACAGAATTTTCCCCATCATATTACAGCTTCTGCAGAGATCTTAAAATAATTTTTTTTAAAGATTTATTTATTTATTTATACAAGCACTGGGTACAGTCAGAGGCGCGGGAGGGTGAGAGAATTCACCAGAGCCAGAGCGGGGAGCAGAGCAGGCAGAAGGACTGAAGTACACTGCTGAGGGGAGCAGCGGGCGGCAGGAGAGGTCTGCGCACCATGTGGGACCCTCCTCCGGTGGCCGGGGAGCAGCTGGGGATCGAACCGGCACTGCAGAGGCTGCGGGCAGCTTCGCAACCCAACGCTCAACCACTGAGCCACCGGGGAGGCCCTTAAAATAATTTTTATACCAAAATTGACTATTTCAAAATTGACAGTTTAATGAAGTAGCTTATAGATTATAATTAGCAACCTTAAATATTTTGGTAAATATATTTTACTGCCCAAAATATTACAGTATAATTGGACTTCTTTGTTCTCCTTTTAACTTTTTAAGCATCTTAAAAGATACCGTGAGAAGAGATCCATAAGCTCCACGAGACTGACAAAAAGGTGCCATGGTCCCCCCAGACCTAGCCGATATTGTGTCCCCTGAACACCAGGGTCCCTTCAGTGGGCTCCACATCGAAAGATTTTCATGAAGAGTAGCACAACTGCCATCCACAAACAGCTGCCTGGATTTTCCAGGACAGCCCAGGAGAGCAGAGCATGTTGGGATCTCAACCTAATGGCCCACTGGACTCAATCATGGCCAGTACACAAGGACACCGAGGACTCGCCCGTCATCTGGTGCTCCGCAGGCGCCCTGTGCAGAAAGGTCAAGGAGCCCGGAGGCTCTGACGGAAACAAGTAATGGGGCCTCATTACAACAGAGTTTATTTTTATTTATGGCTAGAGGTGGGTGGCAAAGTTGGTCAATAGCAGCACAAATTATATAAATTCATTCTTTGGCGCAAATAAAATGCTAAGAATTTATCCAAACAGACTTCATAATGAGACTTCCAGCTTGACCTTCCACAGAGCATTTTTTAATAATGATACAAAAATTTAATCCATCAACAAATGGCCTCGTCAGAAGAGGGGGAAACATCAAAGGCAAATGACGGAAGCCGGTTTCATACTACCCAAGACAAACTCATTTCTGAGCACGTAAAAAGAATGCATATCTTGACTGCTGGCAGAAAGTGGTTTGGAATTTGTAGCTTGTAATGCAAAAGGGTTGCAAATCCTTAGTGAAAACGGAATCTGAAAAAAGCACAGAAGATTCCTCACAAGAAGATATAGGGAGCAAATGAGCAAGCATTGGAAAATCATTCATGAACACTCATTTAACATGACCATGTCTGACAAGGTCAGTTTATTAAGGAAGCAGATCCAAGTCAGGTGCTGCTCCCCAAAAAAATAAATGATTACAAGTTCAAGCTGAGTAGATATGTTTCTTGGGTCAGTTAAAGGAGAATTTTTAAAAATCAGGACACATGCACAATTAGGGAAATGTCTTTTTTTTTTTTTTTTTTTTAGAAAAGATCTATGTAAATAGCATTCTCCATTGCTTCTCTTCTGCATTTATCTGGACATAAGAGGGATATAGATACAGAAGCGGAATAACAATTTCAATCGAATAATCAGGCTATTGTGCTACTTAAAGGTAAATATCCCTGCTGGAAGCATGCCATGCAGAGCCAACTGTGTGCCTGCAATAGTCCATCTGCTTTGTTCAAACAACTGAATGGCTACAATAAAGTCCGAGAACTATTTCAGAGCTGGCATGGATCTCAGTAACCACCTGACTAACCATCTCAGTGTACAGAGGAGGAAACGGAGACCCAGCAAGGTTAACCGACTGGCCCCGAGAGGAGCCGGAGCCAGACACACCCCATGTCCTGCCCCCTCCCTCCCTCCCTCCCGCGTTCTGGTCACTAGCACTCCAGCTTCCTTCTGAGGCGTCCTTAACCAGGAGGCATGAGACACAAAACCAAGCGCCTGACACAACCAGATGGGCGAATGGCAAGCTCCAGTGTGTGACCTCTCCCTCAGTTTAAAGAAAACAATGGGCAAAAATGAACAATGATGTAAAATATATAGAGAGAAAGAGAGAAAAGTAAGGGCACCACGGCCACCAGAGGTTATTCAGTGGATGGGCAGAATTACACTTTTTTTTTTTTGGTTTTGACACTGGCCCCGTGGTTTCTACCTCCAGGGTCCCGCAATGGAAAAGAGAAGGTCACAGGCATTAGAGAAGCAAAAAGGACTCAATCAGAGGATTTTACGTTAGGTAGAAATAGAAAAGGGCTATGCACATTAAAAATTCAAAGGCAGAGATTTTTAAATAAATATTCTGTGTAAAAAATAAAATTCTCCTCCATCTACTATGGGAGGTAGCCTTTTTATTTGAAACTGACTCTTCACTAGTAGAGGCGGTCGAAATTCTGATTCAGAACTCAGCAAATTCAAAGGATATAGAAGGGAGAAAAATACTGCCCTTTTGCCCAAGCATCCCTAAGTCATCTATATCACCTTTGATAATTCTGGATTCCAAGCAATACCCCAGATCTGAGGAAGCCAAGAGGGAAAGAACAGGAGAAAATTCTGTTACCCTAAGCTCAAGCCAGGGCAAGACTTCCAGTATTGCAGACAATGCACCCGATGTTGCCTCTGTCTGTTTCTCTAAGAATATCTAATTGATTGAGTTTGTAGAGGTGGCTCTTTTCATAGGAACAGTGAGTTTCTCTCCAATCTCACTGACTTTCCAGAAAAAAAAAAAAAATACCTAGTGCAGAGGTAAGAACCAGATTAGGTTTTTTAAAGGTGTTTCTAATAACATGGTCCTAGCCTGGAAATTTAACTTTTTTTTTAAGATTTTTTATTTATTTATACAAGAATTGGGGTACAGGTCAGAGGTACGGGAGGGTGAGAGGATTCACCAGAGAGAGCGGGGAGCAGAACAGGCAGACGGACCGAAGACACTGCTGAGGGGAGCAGCGGGCGAGGCAGGAGATATCTGCCATGCCATGTGGGTTTCTCCCTGGCCGGCCGGGAATTGAACCCGCGCTGCAGAGGCTGTAGACAGCGTCACAGCTTAACGCTCAACCCGCTGCGCCACTGGGGAGGCCCTGGAAATTTACCTCTTTAAAAACCCACTGAGCTCTGGCTTCAGAATAGGACAAATGAAAATAAGGTTTAATGTACTTTTAACAATTCCTTTTACAAGTATTGGGTGGATTATCTCATCTTCTAGTAATTTTCCTGGGGGACAGGAAAGGGGCATAGTCCCACATTTCTTCTCTGGAGAGGTTACGTACAGCTTGCAGGTGGAATGAGTGACTGGGTGCATGATGGTGGTGATACCTGATGGGGGTATCCTGATATCACCGAAGTTAAAAGTAAATAAATATTTTAAAAATCTGTGAATTATATTTTAAACTCAAACACTCGATTATGAAGTCAAATGTCATCACTATATCATGGCAGCAACTTTTAAGCCAAATGGGAGGCGGGAGAACACGAGTGGGCTGGAAGGACGTGGGACTCCACCGCATTTCCTTCCAGCTCCGGGCAGGGGACGTGAGGTGAGGGCCTAGGTCCAAGGAATTCCCTGGGGCACAGGTTCATATTTCTCCACGGTAAGGGATCCCTGGTGTGGAAGGGCAGGGTGCTGGCTCCAGCTGGGAGCACCGTGGTGGCTGGTGGGAACACTGGCCCAGCTCAGGAGACCATCAGACTCAAAGCCCTAGTGCATCAGGAACGACAGACACGTGCCTGACCCTGCCTCCAGCCCCGCCCTGGGCATGGCTGAGTTGGAGCCGGAGCTGGCTGGTTGCTTGAGGGAGAGGCAGTTTTTAGCTGTCCTCCTCAGAAATGCAACAAGCCAGAAAGAAAAACATTGGATGGTCTCACTTATAGAGGAATGTAGAGGATTGAAATAAGGGATCAGGAAAAAAATTAATTCTAATAAAGAAAAATCAAAATCAACTATAAACCAGAGACATTCTGCTGTGGGGGAGAAGGAGTAGGATCAAAACAGGACAGGGAAGAACACAGGGACTATGGTGATGGTGCACGGGTGAATGGGTGGTGGGAGTTTCATGGGGACTATAACCGAGATGAAAATGCATACATTGTACAAAAATGAAAAATGATGTAAAAATACATAAAATAAAACAATTTAAAAAATAAAATAGGAATTGAAAAAAAAAAGAAATGCAACCAAAAGATGTGCCTACACATCGCTTTGCTTTCAGTGGGATTTTCAAGCATTTTATATTTACATTTAGAAGGTAAAATATCTGAAACTATAATACTCACCGTGTTTTTCTGAGTTACCATATCCTGAAAAGAAAAAGGAAAAGGTAAGAGGAATCTCCCAAGCACCAGCAAGTATCTGCCTCCCCCACATTATGTAGCACCCATCTCAGAGCAAGAGTTGTAACTTGAAACTCTCCCTGAAAAAAGCTTCAAATAGCCTCTGAGAACTATAACACTCTAAGATTCATCATAAAGGTTTAGCTTTGGAATGACCGGGGCAGGGGAGTGGGCATATATGTTCATAAGGATTTCCCCACAGCAGTAGCAAGGGCTTTGTCCAAAACTCTCCCCAGAATCAGGTCAGGAGCAATGAATGTCCCGTACCTTGTCTTCCCAGTGAAGATAAATGACAGCAAGGAAGTGCATGGAGCGGGGGGGGGGGGGGGGGGGGGGGGGGGGAGGGCGGCACTGGGGTGTCCTTGAGTAAGGAACCATTTCTTGAATCAATGTGAAGGCAGCAGGCCTCCTCCAGCCACCTTCCCCCAAGAGGGGCGTAGGATTCCTGACACACCTCCCTATAATTGTCTAGATTTCAAATTCAATGACCACTGCAGTCAGTTACTGTATTGTTTGTGTAGGGAAAGCCAATGCTTGCTGAAAAAAGAAACCATAATTAAACAGCTGCCCAATAAAATGTGTTTATGTCCTGAGATTTCTGTTTTCTGACTGCAAGAGTAGGTTGCACCTGCTGGCATCTGATAGCATAGACTACCCGTTTCCATTTCAGAAAAAATTCCTATCATTAAAAATTAAAACTTATCCAGGTTATGGGACTTTGGAGAGGCATTCACTGCAACGCAGTTGAGAAAAACAATGTATTGAGTGAGGAAAAAATATTCTGATGTGATGTTTCTCATCAAAATGTAGCTCAATAATCTACCCTGACATATTTTCTAACTGTAGATATTTCTAAGCATTGCTCTCTTAGTGAAAAATCAGCAAAAGAAAAAAATCAATTATCTAACTATTTAAAGTAATTTAGATGAGTTTATAGCCTTTGGAAAACTATTCTACAATGTAAAGTATAATAATAAAACAATCCTTTTACTGTCATATTGCTTATTAATGACTTCTTAACACAGCACTGCACTATAATTAAAGAATACACAGCCAGCAAAGTACAGGTGATTTAGAACCGGTACAGGCTACACATCTGAAGCAGGTGGGAGTTTATATCAGGAAATAATTAAAGAACCCAGAAAAATCTGGTTAATATTAAATCTCAAGAAACACAAACAAAAATGCCCAACCTGGCCATTACAAAATTGCGCTATTTAAAAACTAGTTACCTTTAATGCTAAGGGAGCTGGGCATTTAGAAATAATGCCCACAAAGGCTAACCCTGAACCACTGGTTCCCACTCCTGGCTACCTATTTGGGAGAGTATTAAAAAAACTTCCCTGGAGGGCCTCCCCTGGTGGTGCAGTGGTTGAACTCTGGGCTGCGAAGCTGCCCGCAGCCTCGGCAGCACCGGTTCGATCCCTGGCTACTGGAGAGGGTCCCACATGGCGCACAGACCTCTCTTGCCGCGCCCGTTGCTCCCCTCAGCAGTGTACTTCATCGGTTTGCCTGTTCTGTTCCCTGCTCTGGCTCTGGTGAATTCTCTCACCCTCCCGCGCTTCTGACTGTACCCAGTACTTGTATAAATAAATAAATAAACCTTAAAAAAAAAAAAACTTCCCTGAAGACTGATGCCATTGGCCTGGGGTGTGGCCTGGGTACCAGGGTATTTACAAGCTCGCCAAACCATTGTCAAGTGCAGTCAAGGCTGAGTAATACTGCTGTAAAATACAGCAGGATTTTTTATTGCTGAAATGATTTAACACAGACCAGGTTTTTCTGACCTGTGTTAATATAGTCAACAACATATTATTAGTTGAATTTTATAGTCACTCAGACATTCATATTTTATAAACATGAACTTTTTTTACAAGTATTATATTATGCTACTCTAAAATGTTTGCATCAAAGTTGCAAAAATACATTTAAAAAATTCTCAGTAATTCTGAGTTGCATGAACAGCTTAGATTTCAGGCTTGCTCTGCTTTACATGGAAGGGGAAAAAATAACAGACAAAATATTGATTATACCTATGTTAAAATGTTCTGCCCATTTTGGTAACTGTTAAATGTCTTCAAAATATTATTCAAGTTCAGAACTGACTTTTTTTAAATGTATAGGTCTGGATCAAGCTGTGCATTAAAGGATTCAGGGTGGTGTGTTGGTTTTGTTTTTTTTTTTAAAGATTTATTTTTTTATTTATACAAGAGCCGGGGTATAGGCCAGATGCGTGGGATGATGAGAGGATTCACCAGAGACAGAGCGGGGAACAGAACAGGTAGACTGACAAAATACACTGCTGAGGGGAACAGTGGGCGCGACAGGAGAGGTCCACTAGCCATGTGGGTTGCTCCAAGGCTGGCAGGGATCAAACCGGCACTGCAGAGGCTGTGGACAGCTTCACAGTGCTGCACTCAACCGCCTGCGCCACCAGGGAGGCCCCTGGGGTGGTGTGTTTGTTTCAAAAGAAACTACCAGATTGTTTTCACTTCGCTTCCCCAACGAGCCTGGAGATGTTCACGGTGCCTACAAATCCACATCTGTATGCGCAGGCTCACACAGTGGCCAGGAGGCTTCCGTGTGAGTTACAACCTGGAGTGGGTAAGAACTGCACAAGCAAATGTTTTTCTCCAACCTCTGCTAAGTGCACACTTCAACTGAGCATGTCACTCTGTGTTCCCAAAGCAATGCACTCCGGAGAAGACAAACACCACCCTTTACCTTCAGCGAAAGAGCAGTGTCAGCATCCGTGTCGTGGTAAAGGATCACGTTATTGGCCATGTCAAAGCTCTCACGAACTCCAAGATGGTAGAAGAGCGAAGGCTGTCTGGAGATATCACTCATGTCCACCACAGCAACATCTGAGATGGACAAGGAGAGGACAGGGTGGGGGTGGAAGACATCTGATTACATGATCTACTTTCGGATGATGACCAATGTCTATGAGATCTAGAACATGTACAGGCTACACATGCAATTTGTATTTCTGCCATCAGCTTTTCAGGCAAAGCAGAAACGAGGAATGACTTGATTATAATCACCCCCATGGGCTGTGCACGAAAAGCACTGAGGAACATGAAACACAAAACAAAATACTTTCTTTTTCAAAGTGCTGGGAACATAGCCTCACTTAAGCATTGCTGATGGATTTGTTGTCATTATGATTAGGAAGTATCACATGCAAAGAATGTATTAGCTTATACACGAAGTAGAACATCTAATGGGGTGAACCACGCACCTATCATCATCGGTACCACTGGCGCCCAACGTGCCTCTCCCTAACCATGTTCCCCCTTCCTGCCCAGAGAACCCCTCTATCCTCACCTGTTTCTATCAGTTCCTTGCATGTATGTGTACACACATCTTACATATTCTAATGTATGAATGCCTAAACAGTGCAAATTTCCCACATCTTTGAACTTTATATAAATACAGTCGCCCCTGGAACAAGGGGGTTTGAACCACACAGGTCCGCTTAGATATGGATTCTTTTTCTATCTTTGATCTCTGCATCTGAGGATTCAGCTGACCTATATTCCCAGCTGGCTGACTTTGTAAATGCAGAACCTGTGGATATGGAGGCCCAACTATAAGGGACTTGAGCATCTGTGGATTTTGGTATGGGGCGGGGGTTGTCCTGAAGTCAATCCTCTGGATAGCTTCAACCATGCAGGGATCTAATGCCGCTAGCCCCTGCCCTGGTCAAGCGCCAATCGTAGTATCACACCATGCGTATTCATTGACTTGCTGTTTTATGGCGATACGGCCAGCACGTGTGTCTGGTTCCAGTTCATACATCTTCACGGCAGCACAGCATTTCATTATATGATGACTAGACCACAACATCCTTACCCATCCTATCTGCGGACATTCTGTTCATTTTTCTTTTTCCTACTGCAAACAGCTATAATGAGTATTTCTGCACCATGCTCCTGGTTCACAAGTCTGCCACCAACTTGACAATGTGGCTCAACTGCCCTTGTAGCGGTGTCCTGGAGAGACCTATTCAGAACAAGGAAGTAACCTGTGATGCAACGGGAGCGAGCTTACACTTGGCTAGTGGCAGTGGACGCCATTGAAAAACTCCTTTGTGAAAGAGCAAACTCATTCGGTCCAATCAACCAGGTGCATAATTTTGGCAAGTAATGTCCAAACTTACATTGGCCCTGCCGTGACTCACAGAAAGTTTGTGAAAATTCCAACAAAAGAACAAAGGCAAGGTGAAGAGGGGGGTGAAGAGGTGGAGATGAGAAGCTACATAAGTGCCTATGCTGCCGCCCCTTGCAGAGGCACTGGGAGACCAGCAAGCACTGGGGCGGGCCTTTTAGCCTCACCTATGGATTTTCCAGTAAATACCAGGCAGCACTGTGGTGGGCAGCAGGGATCCAGAAGTATGAACGAGGTAGAAGCCCTTTTCTCAAAAACATGTAAACAACAGAAGGAACCAGAAGAAAGTGGTGGGTAGAATCATGGTGTATGTGGGGCAGGAGACTGCTAACCTGAGGGTAAAACAGCCACAGAGGCACCCCCAGGAGGATACCTCTCCCACACTAGGGTGGAGGGCGCTCAGGGAAGGCCAGCCGGAAGCGATGCTTTCCGGGACCCCTGCGCCCCTAAGAGTTAGGCAGACAACTCAGGGTGAGGATGGGGAATGGAAAGCAAAGAATGTCCTAGAGAGAGAAGACAGCAAAGGCAAAGGCTAGAGCAGTGTAGACGTGCAAATAATTTCAGGGGACCAAGATGATGAACCTGGCAGAGTCAGTAAGCGCCATGTGGTGCAGGGGCCTCAGGGCTGTGGTAAGAGGGCTGGATTCCTGAGACAACGAGAAATCTATGGTAGGGGTTGCTTCTCTTTCCATTACGGAAAATTACAAACATATAAAAAGTAGACAGAATAGTATGATGCGACCCCTGTATCCCAGGACATCCCTCAGCAACTACCAACCCAGCCAACTCTGCTTGTCTCCACTGCCATCCGCAGCCCCCCTCCATGCTATCCTGAAGCAAATCCCAGCCATCATTATCCAGCCCTGAAATATTTCAGTATATATGGCTAAAAGATGAGAACTCAAAGAAACTACACAACCACAGTGTCAATGTCTCACCTAAAAAAAGATGTCTCACGAGGCATTTTAAACAGGAGACTGTCATGTCCCAGTGCCCCCTTTAGAGGCTGTCGCCAAAGCAAGGACAAATACACGTGCCGAGAGAATGCTGCCAACCCAGCCTGGTTAACTGATCTCAGATGGTGACGGTTCCCCACAGACATGTGCTCGGAGTCCATCACCCTGCAGCTGAGCAGCTCGGACATTCCGCCTGTAAGCCTGTTCCCTGGAAGGAGAGAGAATGTGCTCCGTCGTGATGCTGAGAAGCAGCAACCCGGGCGCTACTGTCAAGGGCACGGGGCCCACCGCCTTCAGATACTAGGGCCGAGGAAGCCAACAGGGGAAAGGAGAGTGGTGGGCAGGGGCCAGGGGTGGGGGTGAAGGACAGCAGCCCCCAAGTCACTCCCTACTTGGTGGAGTAGTTGTTTGTTGCCGAGTAAATTCAGTTTTAATCTGGAGACACGAGATTTTTTTTTTCCTCTGACGTCTCAACATTCCGTGCTGGGGCCTGGGCCCAGATCTCACTGCCTCTGCGAAGGAGCCTACTCCTGGCTCCACCACCAAGGGATGGCAAAGAGGTCTGTCAGGGTCTAACACAGGGCAGATTAGTATTGCTACTCAAAAAAAATTCTGGGTAACTCATGTTTGATAGGAAAATGATCTCAAGTCCCAAACTGAATTTTTCTGCCTGATGTCTGACACTCGGGCCAGTACACCAAGTTCATTTGGAGGATTTATACGACAGTATTGAACCAGCTGCTTTTTAGAACCTCTAAGGCACTAATTTATAAATGCTAAATATGATGAAACACCAGATTGGAATGTTTAATTATACACAAGAAATCGAGGGCTTTTTACCTACCAGCTTCAGTCATCGCAATGGTCACTGGCTTTGCTGTTTACAAAAACTTCCAGACAGCTAAGTTCAATTTCAGGACCGCCCTGGGAGGCAGGGCAGGTATCGGCCCCATTCTGCAGGTGTGGAAATGAACCCCAAGGAGGGTACGAGACTCGCCCGAGGTCACACAATGAGGGCACAACGGAGTCAGGGCTGGGACTTCGCGTTTCTGATGCCAAGCCCTGGGCTGCCCAGCGCGGCGTGCTACTTTTCTGACTCACTCTCGGAGATGGAGCCACGTGGAGGGAAAACCATCTATCCAGGCGTATCTAAGGCTCCCCACCCCAGAAAGGAAGAGATTGAACTCAGATTCGCATTCCCCAAGCCACCCTGCGCTCCCAGCAACCAGGGCCTCCCAGCTCCCGGGACACAGGTCAGGCCCAGGGGAAGGGTCTGGGCAGCACGAACCATCTCCCCGATGGAGGACCAACACACCCCTGCCTGCTCGGCTCGACAAGTCTTAAGTGATGCCACGTCAGCGTTACTTCTATCACTTCATCCTCCTCTGCCCCAGCACACTGGGCGCTCCCCACTCTGGGCTCCCGAGCGGCCTGTGAATACACCACCTCAATATTTTTGTTTCCATCACCCCAAGGTCCCTTTTCCCCTTCCTTGCATCCTTTCATAAAGGGATCTGCTCTCACACGGCTGGCTGGGGCGAACCTTTTCGTGGCACTTCATAGTCGGCTTTTCCAACTAGCAGGTACTGACCCCTTAACGGCGCCCTCTCCTCAAAGAAGTGTTGTTCGCTGCCTCCAGATGCGCACTTTTTCCGAGAAGCTCGGAGCTTCAGGTACTGCTCGCACACTAGACTCAAGAGGGGAACCGCTGAGCTTTTCTGCTCTAATGACAAAATTGGAGGAAATGGCCCTGGCCTTTGTTCATTTGTTCTCTAAGTCTCATTAAAATGAGCATCGTCTACACAAGAGGACCCAGGCCTTCTGCATCTACTCCAACCTTAACACCCTCTTTCTTTTCCTTAAAATCAACTGTTCCTTCCACGTCGTCAGGACTCCCGGGCCAGACACCGCCTGACGCCGACTTCACCCTCTCTGCTCTGACCTCCTGAGCCTTCCTGAGCGGAGCCCGCGCCCTCTCTGGGGAGAGAACTCGGTTCACTTGCTGAGAGAGGCGGTGACTCGTGGCTGGATAGGGGGCCATTTTTCTTTGTCCTGCTCCCTTTTAGTGCTCGTTTTTCTTTTTCCCTCACAAACCCATTCCTTTTTCTTAGATGGCTCTTTGAGAAGAAATGCACAGAGCTCTTGACTTGCATCAAGCAGTCTCACGAGCCACAGGCTTGACAAACTTTCCTGATTAAATGATAATCTGCTGGTTGTTCTAAACATCAACAGGGGTTCTGCTTCTGGCTCCCAGACAACAAATAATCCAGAGGGACACAGCGGAGGCCCATCAAGCACTGTCACCTCACCACCCACTTCCATCTCCTTTTGTTCCATTTTTCTCCTGTTTCTTTTGCTCTCAATGTTCAGTCACACAGAGCACCTTGTGCGGACAGAACTGGTCTAATCCAAGGCAGCTGGCATGAAGGCACCTTCTGCTAATTGGCAAGCCTGCCCAATAAGACGCAGAGTTACAATATTCTGGTTACTACCGCTGCATGACAAAACATCTCAGATTTTAATGGCACAAGCTGGAGCTCTGAGTAAGATGGAGTAAATGCATTCCAGCCCATCTCTCCCCGAACGTAGCTATGAAAACTAGACAGGATGGACAGAATGGCTATGTTTGGAGCATAAAAAACAAATGGTAGCACGTGGACTAGAGAAGACAACCAGATTTCAAAGTGCCATCCAGTCAGCAGCCAGGATTCCACTTTCCCGTCTCCCGCAGCCTGGAT